CCCCATCACCTCCTGGCAAATAGAAGGGGAAGATATGGCGGCAGTGACAGAGTTTACTTTCTTGGGCTCCATGATCACTGCAGATGGGGACAGCAGCCACAAAATTAAAAGATTCCTGCTTCTTTGGAGAAAAGTGATGAGAAACCCAGACAGCATCTTAAAAAGCAGAGACATCACCTTGCCGACAAAGGTCCACAAAGTCAAAGCTATGGTTTTTCCTGTAGTGATGTACGGAAGTGAGAGCTGAACCATAAAGAATGCTGATCGCCGAAGAATTGATGCTTTTGAATTGTGTTGTTGGAGAAGGCTCTTGAGAGTCCCCTGGACTGCAAGGAGAACAAACCTATCCATTCTAAAGGAAATCAAGCCTCAGTGCTCATTGAAAGGACAGATCCTGAAGCTGAGGCTCCAACACTTTGGCCATCTCATGAGAAGAGAGGACTCCTTGGAAAAGACCTTGATGTTGGGAAAGTGTGAAGACAAGAGGAGAAGGGGACGACAGAGTATGACATGATTGGATAGTGTCATCGAAGCAACCAATATGAATTTAACCCAACTCCGGGAGGCAGTGGAAGACAGGAGGGCCTGGAGTGCTCTGGTCCATTGGGTCACGAAGAGTTGGACATGACTAAATGACTAAACAACAACAACAACAACAAGGGTAGGTCCAAGGTATGAGTTTTGGCTCACACTCCTTCAGAACTGGTGCAGCCTCACTGGGTTATACCTTGCAGGAAATCAAGTGTTTGGGTCAGTGATCTTCATCCAGTTACCGCAGATATATAAGAACACTCCCTGACGTCTAGGCAGGGGCCTGTTCTTGTTATATCTTCACAGGTCCCATAGGGTCAGAGAGACAGAGGCACATTGTGATTATCGGCCACAGCTATGTATACTGGGCAGAGTGTTATGCGGCTGCATCCCCATGGGGGAGCAATCTGGGTCTTGGAGCCAGACCACACGTTGCATGTAACGGGATGCGCGGCATGCTGTGGAGCCAGCTTTGCAGGGTGGTGGCCTTGGGCCAGTCTACACCAGATGTGTTGGTGGTACACCTTGGCGGCAATGATTTGGCCAGGCATCCTGGAAAGGCGCTGATCCTGGATGTTATACACAACCTGAAATGGTTGAAGGCCAAGCACCCGGCCATGCGTATTGTGTGGTTCACGATCATACCTCGATTGGTGTGGAGAGACGCCAGGTTTTTCCTCAATGTTAATATGGCACACAAGGGTGTTAACCATGAGGTCTGCAGAGCAGTCAGCTGTGGCCTTGGATTGGTGATTGGTCACCAGAGGATCTGACTGTATAGGCCTGAGTTTTTTCGAAATGATGGAGTCCATCTGTCCGATTTGGGTTTGGATGTCTTCCTGGAAGACATCAAGGGGGGCCTGCTTGTTGAGCTTGAGCGGCTCGATGGAGGGCATGGGATTAGCTGAGCTAGTCCCTATGCTGTGGCGGGTAGTGCAGAAAAAAAAAACATTTTTTCTGGTGAGTCTCACTGCAAATCAGGTAAGCTAACAGCCCATTGGACTTCCCAGCGCTGTGGATCATACAATTACAGTATTTGGGGGAAAAGACGGGCTGTACCAACATTCATCAAATAAAGATGGCTCGAGGTTCGGGGGTGGGCAAATTACAGCCAGCCGGGTTCTTGCTGTCTTCAAGACCACGAGAACCCGGGGCTGGGGACTCACCTATTTGTTGATTAAGTGGTATTTGGAGACCTCTGTGATTTACCTGTTTCCGCACTACAGCAGGCCTCCCTTTGCCAAAGGATAGCAAATTTGAATTACAATCAATAAAGTGTGGCCTGTGTTTTAACCCATACTATTTTGTCTTGCGTCTTTATTCCGGGGTTGGGAGGGCAATAAAATATCATGAAGGCTGGTTCACTACTCTTCATGCTCTCTATAAAAAGAAGGATCTCCAACTAAAATAGAATGGGAGAAGGGAAAAGAAAGTGGCACCAAATAAGTGTCAATCAATGATCTGAGGTCCTTGGCAAATCACAAGTTGCTATGCTACAGAAATATACAGTTTTTAAATGTTATTGCAATCAGTAACAAAGCAGAGCTAGGACAAGTTACATTTTTATTACATCTCCTAGAATCTTGGGTGTTGAACCTAACAAAGGTTTGCTTTCTCCATTCTGCAGCATGGTGAGCTACAGGCAGTATTTCATCTATGACTCTAACATCCAGGCACCCTCCAGCTCTCTGCTGGCTTCCTCCTCCTGTGCTGCCCCCACTCCAACTTTCATTACATCTTTCTGCCCATGCTTACAACTCTAAACTAGGTACACACACATACCCATTTGTCATGCAAGTGTCTTCTATATCAGTGGTTCCCAACCTTAGTTCTTCGACTAAAACAACTTCCCAAAGTCCTCACCACTTGCTAGTCTGGCCAGGATTTCTGGGAGTTGTAGTCCGAGAACATTTGGAGACCCAAGATTGGAAACCACTACTATATACTATACCATGAGATTTCTTTTGTGCAGGGGCAGCCCATAATGTATCATATGAATTATTCTCTGAGAATCTTGGTGTGGTGATTACTTTACAAATAGGGAACTAGTACATCATGGAATTTGGAGACTATACTTCTGTTAAGACATCCTAAAGTCACATTTGCCCTTTTTTGCAACCACATTGCACTGCTGGTTCATATTCAGGATTTGATCTACAACAATTCCAAGATCCTTCTCATTCGTAGTATGACTGAGCCAAATATCCCCCATCTTATAACTGTGCATTTGGTCCCCCCCCCGTGTAGAACTTCACAATTATCCCTATTAAATTTCATTCAGTTATTTTCAACCCAGTGCTCAAGCCTATCAAGATCTTTTTGAATTTTACTCCTGTCTTCTACTACCTTGAAATTGTGAGTCATCCAAAAATTGGATAAGTATTCCCTGCACTCCCTCATTCAAGTCATTCATCAAAATCTTGAAAAGCACTGGGTCCAGGAATGATCCCTGGGGTACCCCACTTGTTACCTTCTCCCAGTTTGAGAAGGAGCCATTTATAACCACTTTCTGAGCATGATTGTGTAACCAACTGTGCATCCACTTGATACTTGTTCTATCCAGCCCACAGTTAGTTAGTTAGTTAGTTAGTTAGTTAGTTAGTTAGTTAGTTAGTTAGTTAGTTAATCAGAATATCATGAGGCACTTTGTCAAGGTCTTTGCTGAAATCAAGATACATTACATCTATAGCATTCCCACCATCTACCAGGGAGGCTACCCAATCTAAAACTGAGATAAAATTAGTCTGGCAGCATTCGTTCTTCTCAAATCCAAGTTGGGTGCTAGTTATTACATCATTGTTTTCAAGGTATTTGAGGAGCGACTGCATTTGTATTGTTTTGAAAATCACATGTCCTTTTCTGATTTTTTTCATCAATTCATTATTGGCAAAGATTTGAGGTCCAAGCTGTGTGTTTGTGACTGTGCATTGTCCAAAAGAAACCATCGAAAGAACAATATATTTTTCTCTTCCAGAATGTAGAATCCCCTGAGCAGGGGATTCTGACCAGGGGATACTGAGCAGGGGATTCTGGGATCTGTATTTTTAAAAAAAGAATTTCTTGAACCCTTCTTTAGGACCAAGGATGACTTGTGAGGTATTATCCTGAGCATTACTGTAGTAAGCAACAAATTTCCATGCAGTCATCCAATGGTCCCTCTCCTAAAAAGAGCAACATTTCTATAGTTAAGCCCCCTCTGCTACATCCTTGAGAACAAAGAAGACTATGTTTTTTTCCCCAATCACGTTCACTTCAGCATATTCAGCTGCTGAGCATATTAAAGTGATTTTTCTCCCTAAAGTGATTATGGCACATACGGAGGACTTCCTTACTCAGCGCTTCCTGCTCCCTCATGTGCTTTCAGAGTAATGCTTCATCTGCTTATTTTGGTGAATAAAAATTCCTTTTATTCATTTTTCTAAAAATGTACTCTACCAGCCAAGAGAACCAAGGAAGGAAAATCCTGAGATAAAGGATAAAACTATTATCTTTTAAAAGTTCTTTTTCTTTAGTGATCTGCATTTCATTCAATTTTTCAGCAAACACAGAACTTCTCTCTCTTCTGCCCAACTAAACCATGCCATAGTTACACATCACTAATATTTATCCAGATTACCCCCCCTTAAGAAAAAGTTTCCTCACTATGAAAAGGCATTATAATCAAATGTTTCATATTACTGTTGGTGTTGTTCCTACCATATGTTAAATTTATTGGCTGCTTTTTAACCCCCACCACCCTCAGCATAGCTAATATAAACAATGGGTGAAGTCCTTTTGTTTAGTGTAAACTATAACAACTAGAGCAGGCCTATTTGAATCAATGGCATACTACTAAGGAGTTGGTTCACCAAATCCCCACAGATTGAATGGGCCTACTCTAGTTGTGACTTATAATGCTAAGCTATAGGATTTCAGCCTTTGTGCGATTTGAGAGGTCAAATGATGTTACATCTGCAACTGTGTCGCTCTTATCGGAGATAAGAGATCAGAAGGACAGGAGGAGACTCAGGCTGGGATCACTCACCAGTCAGAAAATCTGGATCAGGGGTTGGCTCAGAAAGTTCCTCTTGGCACTGGTTCTCTAGAGGAACAGTGGCCAACACTAGTCCATCTGGGAGCTGTTGTTCCAAACCACGAGCAAAGTTATTCTGCCTGTAGAAAAAGAAGGAAACAGAGAGGCTGTTCATATATCTGTGAAACCAAAAACATCCATTCAAAAACCTTGAGGGGTTAAGGTGGACTCCTCTCTAAAGGAGTATAGACAATATAATCAGTGTCAAAGAAGCCATCAAGTCATAGAAGTGCAAAATGCCCATGGTTCCCAGGGCATACTTTATGGCTGTAGCATACTTTATGGCTGTAGCATTTGATTAGAGTTCAGAAAAGGCACCTTTTGGGATTCAGTCTCGAGAACTACACAGCCTATGAACCTCTTGGCTGAGGAATTATGGGAAGTGTACTATAAAAATATAATTAGTCTAGCCTCTAGGAAGCTGTATGAGGGTGGAGTCATAGAATCATAGAATTGGAAAGGCCATGAAGTCCAACCCCTTCTTCAATTGAAGATCAAAGAATCATAGAATAATGAAGTTGGAAGAGCCCTACAAGGCCATCTAGTCTAATCCCCTCCTAAATGCAGGAATCCAAATCAAAGGATATATGCAAGGTGGATATCTAAATTTCTCTTGAATGACTCCAGTGTTGGAGCAATCACCACCTCTTGAGGTAATTGATTCCATTGCCCTACTGCTCTAAAAATTAGGACATTTTCCCTGATATTCAGCTGAAGTCTGGCTTCCTGTAACTTGAGCCGATTGTTGTGTGTCCTGAACTCTGGGATGATCACGAACAGATCCTGCTCATTTTCTGTATGTGTATGTGACCAGCTCCTACCCAGGCTTCTTAAAAAAACCTTCCTTTAAAGCAGGGGTCTCCAAAGGATGGCCCGTGGGCCACATCCAGCCCACCTTGCCTTTTAATCTGGCCTGTGCATGCAGGTGGGCAAGAGTGTTTGTGTGTGTGCATGTGGGTGTGCGTGCATATGGGTGAGTGGGCAAGCAGACGTGGGATTGCCGTTAGGTGGGCAGATGGAAGGGCAGGAGGAAGGGAGGGAGAGTGGTGTGTGTGCAGGTGGGCAGGAGTGCAGGCAGGTGGGAGCATGTCCGTACATGCACATCCCTTCAGCCATTGAAAATATAAGAAATATATTATGTGGCCCTGTGGCTTCTGCCTAGGACATGAATATTCATAGGCTATCTGCATAGACCAATGGGTGTGCTGGAGGGGTGGAGTCATGAGATATAAGAGACTCAGCAGGAGGAGATAGAGAGTTGAGCAGATTGAGAGTTTGGAAAGTTTTGGGAATTTGGGTGGGAAGTGGCAGTTGAGAGTGGATGAAGTAGGAACTCGATTATTAATAATAGGTATTGTTGATGAATATCAATTATTTAAAATCTTAAAATGATGCTGTTAAGGTGCTACACTCAATATGCCAGCGAGTTTGGAAAACTCAGCAGTGGCCAGAGGATTGGAAAAGATCAGTCTACATCTGGATCCCAAATAAGGGCAGTGCCATAGAATGCCCCAACTTGACCTTATCTGGATAAAACCGGAGATAAGGGTAATCATAATGCAAAGCTGCAGGTTTACTGGCACGATGAGCAGATGTGATAGCTGTGATGAGATGGGATTTTGAGTTAAAATCTTTTAAGGCATATGGGTTTTGTAATTAAGAAATGAGCCAGAGAGGTTCCATCTTGTTTCTTTGTTTAAAGTATCTATGCTATGCTGACAGGTTGTTTTCTAGGCGAGCAGAGAGAATGTTATTCTGAGAGCCTGAGAAAGGACTCGGTGTGATTAGATAGATGGGAATTGTTGTGACTCTTTGATAAACCACCGTAACCCAAATAACATCTGGTGCGTATGAGAAAGAAGTCATGTGGTGCAACAGGACTGTTTGCCTAGTAACGAACTCTGATTGGATGACATCGTGGGAAGGTGCGATGAGCCCTTGCCAGTTACTCTTGAAAAAGGAACTTTTTGCCTATGGACATTGTCTTTCAAGACCGATCCTTCAGTCATTCGTGACACATGGGACTAACCTTTACT